AACGTCGTGGAAGGACACGGCATATAAAGAAGGAGCAAGTCGTGCTGTTTTGTTTTTTAAAGATTCTTCACTGAAAACAAATCTCGTATTTTTAAATAGAATCAAACTGAAAGACAAATCGCTGAATCAATTTAGAAGCGCCAACTATCAAAATGTGTTGCTTCTGGGCCGCTTTAGTCAAATTAATGTCAGCTGCGTGTCAAACCGGCGCCATAAACGATAAAAAAAAAAAACAAAAGTGTTTTTAGGGAAGCAAATAAAAAAAAATAAATAAAAGAAACTATGTAAACCTCGCGAAGATGATGGAATCGGTAATGGCCGCAGGGTAAGGAAAGCAAATAAGGCGAGATTCGGATATGAAGCAGGAAAAAATATTTAGTATTTATCAAGGACCTTGCGTTTGGTTGTGGCCAATTATCGACGACAGGTGGCGGGGCTTTAATGGCGAAAGTGAATAACAGTGTGGTTTCGGTATTGGCGGGAAACGTGTCTTTTTATAACGATTTCCAGCAGGGAGATTCAAATCAAATTGAAGAGTGTAAAATAAGTGGCCGTGTGAAGACGAATGTTAAGGAGTGTGATGATGATAGCTGCTGCTGCTGCTGATGATGATGATGTGGGAAAGGAGGAGGTTAAAACTTGTGTCGAAGAAAACAAGGAAAAGAAAAGCAGCTAACAACTAAAGAAAAAGGTGATGATGATAATGTTCAAGAACATGACAATCATCATTAACTTGTATGATTTTGTTTAGCGGCATATCAACCTCTATGCGTTATTCAATAAGAAAATCTAAATATTTTGTGGGTAATTTTATGGCTTCAACTAAATATATTTTGAACGCAATTGTATGCCTTCAACTAAAAAGAAAATGTTATACCTTCATAATATTTTGTTTTTGTTTAGGTAGTTCCCTATTTGCCCATAGCTAGGACCCTAACAGGTGCTACCACCCCGGGGTCAGGGTGGATCTGGAAACAACAATTAAGACCTTTCTCTAAACCTCCTGACCAGAGGCCTTGCTGCCGGGTGTAGTTTATCTTAATACCCAGGACTAATGATCATCATGATATGGAGCAGGAGGGTCGGGGTGGAGTGTAAAGATACTGATAAAGAAGACAAGGAAAAATAGTAAATAAAGAAGAAGAAGAAGAATAAGAAGAATTTTATCTAAGTCATTGTCATTGCTCATGTGTTCGGTCAATGGCATCCTCAGCATCCTTCTGTAGAACCACATTTATGTTGCTTCATGTCACTTCTGCATCTGTAAGGGGAATATTCAGCATTTACTGCCAAATAGAAGGAATAGACGTCCCAAAAAGTATTACTTGATAATAAAAGTCTTGCTCGAGCGAATTAAATGTCTATGGTTTTGCCCAGGTTTCCTGTACCGACGAGATTCGACAGATGACACGGGAAGAGGGCGGACACAGAACCCATAATTAAAATTACACCGAGTCATTCGCATTAAAATCAATATAAGTAATGTGAAACGAAAATCGTAACTCATTAAAAACAAAGGAGATATCTGCGTGTGCAGATCGGCCGTATGCATTTATACAAGTTCTCCCATAATGATGGATAACATTTTAAATGCACGTATTTTTGGATTACAAAAATGACATCGAGTGCCAAATATTGAAGATCTTAGAGGATCACCATCACGAAGAGAACATGCATGAGCACGCTCTCTCATTTCAAACACAGTTTGTTTCATGGAAGTTTCTAACAGTTCGCAAGGTCACCTTTCTGGATAATTAAAGTCGCTATCAAAAATACGGTCGGAATTTCCTTTGGGCTGCAACGATGGATAGTTGAAGAATGCTTCCACTAACAGACTAAAGATAAACTGCAAGAAGACATGGTTATTAGCAAAATGATGAACCCAAAATGCAAATTACAAATCGGAGAAACAAACATCTCATTTCAAACACAGACATTATGAGGCTCCCCCGGAAGTCAATGGGTAGCAGATAGCAAAACAGCAAAAATAGCAAAATCTCCTGTAGGAATTAGCAAAATTTTAGATATATTGAATTCTTGTATATCATTTATTTAATTGATATTCTATGTCACTTTCATAATTCAAGGTACTTGCTGTGTTCCATCATTATGGTAGGAAAGATCCGATGTCTTTACTGAAGGAAACAGAAGAGATGGCGTGTAAAATCATAAAATAGTCCAAGAACACCTCGAGAACAATTACGACGGAGTAGTGAGTTCGATCTTCACTGGGTACCCCTACTTTTGGCCTCGTGCCACATCTAAGTTGTGCTTGGAATCGACATCTCCAGTTACCTTGATCTATCCACTATCCCTTTCCTCATCCTTTCTTCTATCACTCCTATCTGCTCTTGCTCCAAATCTTCTGCAACCCCCTGCATCCTAGCATCCTTGCTCGAGGCGTAATGCTTAAAAAAATCACAATCGGGTACCTCGAGGCCGTGGAATGATTAGCAGGCTTGTCTCGCTAGAACAATTATGACTGAATAATGAGTTCGATTCTTAAATTGGTGCCCCATACTTTCGGCCTTGTGCCATATATAAGCTATGCTTGGAAATTCACAATAAAATAGTCCAACATGGCAAGAAATTTAACAGAAAATCCTCTTCCTTTCAGCTACGAACTGCGTCCACCTTTGAGATTATAATTCAAAGGAATATCTCAGGAGGTTAATCTAATAAAGATTAATCCAACGATGCTAATCCGCCGAGGGACAGTGGAATCTTCAGACACAGCAACAAATCCTGACTTCCTTTAATCTTTAATCTGCCAAACAGGTTTATCTACCCTTTTCGTCTAAACATTCTTCTGATCAAATCAACCCTGATTAATTTCGATTCTTTGTTCTCTATCTTTTCGGGATGGGTCAGTCAAGTCAGATTTGGATTTTAATCCATTCTCTTTTGTTTGCATATCCCATCGCTTCCCGATTTTTTTTTTTTTTTTTTTACTTTGCACTGTATACCCTGAATATTCAGTAACTGTCCGGCTGAGTGAGGAGAGACATTTGAAACGTATGTAAACAACTATTCACAGCTAGAGTTCAGGTTTCGATTGAGAATATCGATCACAAGTGGCCAATAAAAAGACTATATGACATAAAACTAAAGTTTTGGGGACGAGGAGTTATCATTATTTACAATATTTATATTCGAACTTTCTTTCTTTCTTTTTATGTGCCATATCCTTTCAGGACGTTAGGCGAGCATGGTTCTCCACCTCCCTCTATCCCTTGCAGCTCTCAACAAGTTCCTTCCCTCCCTTTCCTTCCCCAGACCACGTTCCATCATCCACCTGCTCAAGCTCATCAGGTATGTCACGCGCTGCTTTGCTTTCTCTCTCTTGCACTCTATTCGACCCGTGAGTATCAGATTCTCCAGGCCCTCCTTCCTCATGATGTGTCCCAGAAACTTCAGCTGCCTCTTTCTGATGTTAAGTATAAGCCTTCTCCTTGTTTGCATCCTCTCAAAGACCTCATCGTTGCTCACACGCTCGGTTCATGATATCCTCAGCATCCTTCTGTAGAACCACATCTCCGTCGCTTCGAGTCTCTTCTTCGTCTTTGATGAAATTGTTCAACATTCGCTGCCGTAAAGAACAGATGTCACGTAAGAGCTCAGTATTCTTTTCTTTGTTACCAAAGGCAGGGAGGTTGACAAGTGCATTTCAAACTCAGATCTTTGACATACACTGGGCTTGCTTTTACTCGATGTCATATTATTTCCAATTTTTAGTAGCCGGTGTAAGCATTTTCGTTATTATTCATTTTTAGAAGTTTTTTTTTTAAAAAACAAACAGCAACAACAACAAAAAACTATAGAAATGATATCAAAGTGAAAAGTGTTAGAATTAAATTAGTAAGATGAATCGGCGAGTTCTGATCCCAACTTTCCCCAATGCACTATTGCTCTCGGAAAAGTCATCACTCTATCTCTTCTCCCCACTGCTATAGGTTAAATAGCAGGGTAGACTGGGCTATCTAACCTTTTTCTAAAAGAATGACTACGCTGAATTCAAAACCGTGGCGGCATCGGGAAATTACTTACTTTTCTATCTGCTGCGATCTTTCATGGCACTCCACGACTTTCTGTCTCCTGTGGCTGTTAGCAGTTTTTCTCCCTTTGCTAAGATCCCCCTTCCTCCATTCATAAGCACAGGTACATGGCTTCCTCTACGTCACTTGCCTCCAACATGCCCCGTGACCGTTACGTTTTCCACGCCCAACTTCCACATCATGTTCCTTTTAATAAATCCACGCTAAGTAAAGCAACAACGCCACTAAAACGCAAGGGACTACTGGACATGAAAGGGAAAGAAAAAAGCTTAGAAGAAACTTGAAATCCAATAATACTATAATTTTTCAGTGTTTAAGTGGAGACGTTAGAAGTATAGAGTTGAAGTAGAATTTAGACAGAACTGGAAACACAAAGCTAAACAGGAAAACAATGATAAACAGATAATGATAAGAGTGTGAACGGGACGATATTTCAGCCTAGCTACTCTTATTGAACTCATGGCAATTAACAAATGAACAAATATTCCAAATATAACACTGTGTAACAAAATTTTAACTTTGGTCAGTGTTCTTTCCAAATTGATTCTGTATAGAAAGCAAAGGAAATGACTATTCCCTTAAAAATTTACTTTTCTGACCTGGACATCGATGTTTTGAAAACTCAACTATTTTCCATTGCTGATGGAGAATTTTCTAGAACTTTCTAGATGTTTCAAGTATTGTTTACCTCCACTACAATTAAAATTAGGCCTTATTTGTTACAGTTCTAGTTATGGAGTCTGCTGCTTCGAGTACCTTCAAGACATCTTCCTTAAAAGGTGATATCTTCGTCGGTCGACAAATAAAGATCATAAAGTGAAAGCAATTCCCCATGAAGCTCACGAGGGCAGAGAAATCGGCGTGGGGTGGCTGCGATTGAGAATTAGCACACTAACATCTTTTTATATTATGACAAGGAGGATCGTGACTTTCTGGAAGGTGGCGATGGGTCTAAACTCAAATAACAGTGATGAAAACAAAACAAACCACACATATTCTCATTCTCTCTCTCTCTCTCTCTCTCTCTCTCTCTTCGATCTAACTCCGTTTCTATCTCCCTCTCTGTATATCTCGTTCTATTCCGCTATCTCTCACTCCCTCTCTCTCTTTATCTCTTCTTGATCTCACTCCGTTTCTATCTCCCTCTTTGTTTATCTTGTTCTATTTCTCCATCTCTCTCCCACCTCTCTATCTATCTCTTTTTGATCTCACTCCATTTCTATCTTTCTCTGTATATCTCATTCTATTTCTATATATATCCCTCTCTCTCTCTCTCTCTCTCTCTCTCTCTATATATATATATATATATATATATATATATATATATATACAGATAGAGAGAGAGAAAAAGAGAGGGGGGAGGAAGAGAGAGAAAATACACTATGTAAGAAATTATTTACTTTTAAGTCTTTGGTCAATTAAGAGTTCTTTATTAATTGCTTCTATCCAGAAAGCAAAGGAAATGATTATTATTCCCTTTAAAATTTACTTTTCTGACCTGGACTTCGATGTTTTGAAACTAATCTATTTTCCATTATGTTCCAGGCAGATTCAGCGTTGAGTTGCTGAAGGAGAATTTTCTAGAGCTTTCTAGAAGTTTCAAGAATTCCTAGAATATTCAAGCTACCAAGGAGCCTATAACGAAAATATGATGGCGGACTATATCAGTGCGCTGATTTACAGTAATTTACACCATTAGCGTAAATCACGATAAACTACTCATTTCTAAACTTTTGTGTTCTCTCTTGTGTAATCCTAGAATAAATAAATGCTACTTTTAAATAAAGGGTCGTTTTGTTCCTACTTTGTGTAAACGAGAATGTCCACATTCGCCTGTTTTCCAAATGGGAATAGACAAATTTCAGAAATATCATTATCCTGGTCATAAAAGCAATGTTTGAAGGAAATATTAGCGATTTTTCATAGTTTCTTGGCGTGAGCAAATAGGAAATAATAGTTGCTTTCTAAGGACAAAAACCTTGTTACACAAGATCGAATATATTTTTAATTTGCCAATGATTTTTGGATTAAGACATTTTATTTATTACTCTTTCTGATGAATCAACTAAAGATGATCGAGTTGTATAACAATCATGTCTTTGCTTGCGGTCATATCACGTTGAAACAACTATTTTCGTCTGATCTCCGAAGTTATGCAACGTTAAGCTTGGTCAGCACTTAGATGGGAACCGCTTAGAAATACCACATGCTGAAAGCTCATACCAACAATGGCGGTAGAGTAATGGCCCATGCTTTCCCCCTGAACGATAAAGAAAAATAATTGGGAAAAACAATGACCCATTTCTCTTCATGAATTGCGAATGGAAGGATTTGGGGAAGACAATAGCCCATTCCTTCCCATGAACGTCAAAGGGAAAGATTTGGGGGAGATAATGGCCTATGCTTCCAGCTGAACAGCAAAGTTAAATATTTGGGGAAGACAATGGCCTACCGTCCCCATGAACAGCAACGGAAAAGACTTAGGGAAGACAATAGCTCATTCGTCCCCATAAACGGCAAAATAAATATTTGGTGAAGACATTGGCTCATTTTCCTTGCGCAACGACAAAGTGAAATATTTGGGAAATACAATGGACCAAGACAAGGGTGATAAGACTGGCAATAGTACTGACTTCATTTTTACCTTTTTGATATACGAACATGTTTCTAATTTTGTTTACGTTTTCAACTAGATATAAGTAGGTTTTATTAAAAAGTTTCTTTCTACATCACTCATAAGATTCACCTTTCTTTCTTTCTTTCTTTCTCTCTCTCTCTCTCTCTTTCTCTATGTGTATGTCTCTCTATTACTATTCTTCTTTCTCTTTATCCTTCCTTTTTCTCTTATAATTGTTTCTGTTCGGAAATTCTGTCTTTTCTGATTTCCGCCAAGTTTTACTCTCACATTTTTCTTTGATCTCTCTCTTTATCTCTCTTACTCTATTTCTCTCTTTTTCTCTTCTCTTATTTCGAAAATCTCTTACTATTGTCTTTTTTCTTTCCTTTTCTTTTTTTCAGTTATAATTGTTTCTATTCGAAAATTCTGTCTTTTCTTCCTTTTATCTCACTTTTTCTTTGATCACTCTCTTTATCTCTCTCTTTCTCTCTCTCTCTCTATTACTATTCTCTTTTTTCTCTTTTCTTCTTTTTTTCAGTTTTAATTGTTTCTATTCGGAAATTCTGTCTTTTTTTTTATTTCCGCCTCCCTTGTCTCGCACTTTCTGCTTTCCTCTCTCTCTCTCTCTCTCTCTCTCCCTCTCTCTCTCTATATATATATGTATGTATTTCTCACTCTCTTTCTCTCTCTCTCTCTCTCTCTCTCTCTTATAATATTCCCATATCTCTCTTTCCATCTTTTTCACTTATAATTGTTTCTATTCGAAATTTCCGGGTTTTCTGATTTCCGCCTTCATTGTCCTATCTCTGTCTGTCTGTCTGTCTGTCCGTCTCTCTCTCTCTCTCTCTCTCTCTCTGTGTTTATGTATTTAACTTAATATGTCTCTCACTCACATTTCGTCATCTCATTCTACTTCTCTCGCTCTTTATATTTCTTTCTCTCTCTCTTTCTCTCTCTCTCTATCGCTCGCTCTCTCTTTTTCACACACACGCACACACACACACTCTTTCGCACACACACACACACTTTCACACACACACACACACACTCTTTTACACACACACTCTTTCGCACACACACACACACACTCTTTCGCACACACACACACACACTCTTTCACACACACACACACACACACTCTTTTACACACACACACACACACACACTCTTTCGCACACACACACTCTTTCACACACACACACACACTCTTTCACACACACACACACACTCTTTCGCACACACAATTCTTGAATTCGAAATTTGTGTTCATTCTACTTCAGTTTTCGTTGTCTCTCACTTTTTTTATTTCAATCAACTTCTGTCTCTTCTCTTTATCACACTCTGTTTTTATCTCCCTCTCTGTATATCTCGTTCTATTTCTCAATCCTCACTCTCTCTCTCTCTCTCTCTCTCTCTCTCTCTCTCTTTGATCTAACTCCGTTTCTATCTCCCTCTCTGTATATCTCGTTCTATTCCGCTATCTCTCTCACTCCCTCTCTCTCTTTATCTCTTCTTGATCTCACTCCGTTTCTATCTCCCTCTCTGTATATCTCGTTCTATTCCGCTATCTCTCTCACTCCCCCTCTCTCTTTATCTCTTCTTGATCTCACTCCGTTTCTATCTCCCTCTTTGTTTATCTTGTTCTATTTCTCCATCTCTCTCCCACCTCTCTATCTATCTCTTTTTGATCTCACTCCATTTCTATCTTTCTCTGTATATCTCATTCTATTTCTATATATATCCCCTCTCTCTCTCTCTCTCTCTCTCTCTCTCCTTCTCTCCACCATTTTTCTCAAGGTTTTCATTCTGTCATTTTTTCTATCTTTTCTCCTGTTACTCTATGATTTATATTCGAAATTCTCTGTTCAGGATATTCCTGTCTCTTACTTTCCACGTTTCATTCACCCACCCTCTCTCTCTTTCTTTATCTATCTATCTATCTATCTATCTATCTATCTATCTATATATATATATATATATATATATATATATATATATACAAAAAGGCTCAAACACTAATATATAACCATGGTTATAATTTATTAGTAATCACGATCCAATTCATCAGACCTACAAATTCAAAAAGAAACTAAATATAATATATATATATATATATATATATATATATATATATATATATATATATATATATATATATATATATATATATGTGTGTGTGTGTTTATGTGTGTTCATCTATGTTCATCTACCCGGTTCTTTCTCTATTTAGCCCATTCTATTTATCTCTCAACTTCTCTCTTTTCCTCTCTCTCTATCTCTTGTATTACGCTCCTCCTTCTCTCCTTTTACTCTCATAGGTCTCTCTATTTGAAATCGTTATTCATTCGACTCCCGATTTTATTGCTTCTTGCTACTTTTCATTTAACCCTCTCTCTCTCTCTCTCTCTCTCTCTCTCTCTCTCTCTCTCCCTTACTTCTTTCTATTTACTTATCTCAAAAGGTTTTTTTTTTCTCGCTTCTCTGATTCTCTCTATATTCTCTCATTCACTTCCAAGTTATTTTCTCATCAACCATGCTGATCAATCATCATCTACTCAATTTATTATTTCCTAAACGTTTGATAGAATCGAACTAATACCAATATCAGACGACAATAAGTATCCCTCCCTCCACATCAAGATAAGCATTCTCTATCGAATATCATTTTAACCGGAAGACGAACCACTTTCAATAAACAAAGAACATACATAAAGTCTTAATATATATAGTCACGTGAGAAAGACAAAGCGCCTTATGGGAAGAATCCCATTTTGAACTTGAACAGAGACGTGAATGTAAAACGAGAACAAAGAGAAATTTATGAATGCCATTCAAAGGTGAAAATAGCCATCAGTTTAATAAATCTACTAATTGAAGTTCTTTTATATTGTTTATAGGTCATTCTAAATGATATGTATTCGTTTTTTATGAGACAAATACTTACGTATCGAACGCCGGCGTACAAAGCCGACTTATTCAAGCAGGGAAAAATATTGGCATTTTTCGAGATGTCTGTAGAAACCTAATTATTTCACGAAGGAATAAACAAAATCATTGCTCACGGTGCAGTGGAAAGAACAGTTTTAGCGGAAAAAAATACAAGTTTCCCTTTGTGCTACATTATCGTACAGGAAGCAAATGTGTTCCAGTTTAGGGTTAACTTTAACCTCATGCGACGTGCCTACATGAATAAATCGATGATAAAAGCGCCAAATGATTGACCAAACCGTTCAATAGTTGTTTGGGACCTCAACATTGTATTTCCTGCTAAACGAAATTTCAGTTGTGTAATCACCTCTATATCTCGCACTGTAATATATATATATAT